GCCATTTGACATCTCCTGAACCATTTGTTTTTAGAACTATTCAAGAAATGACATTTGCAAGCCGAAATAATCTTTCAAAATTTTTTTCACAAAATCCAAATGAAACTCTTGCTTTTATAAATTTCAAAGTACCCATTTCTTTTAGGCTAAACTTTCTATTAAAAATACACTCATGTCCATAAATTAAGAATAATTCGGAGTCATGCGGAAATCGAACTCTAAAATAAATATATCACCTGTAAAATCACTACACACATCTTCAAGAATCATATGAAAATTTCAGAAAGTAACCAGATGACACCGATGGTACATCACAATGACGAGAGTGTAAGAGTGTGATATATAAGGAATACAGGCAAAGAAGTAAAATTGTTCCCAGGCGTTTCAGTGCAATAACCGAATAGTTACGACACAAAGGACGCATTTGGATGGTTTTTTACGTGGTAGAATTATCGGCCGTCTGGAATGTGGGCGTACCCAACTGGAAGTATCAGACGAACTTGGAATTGCCCAGAGTGTCATCTCCAGGCTTTGGCAACGATTCCAAGATGATGGTAATGTGAGTAGAAGTTACAGCACAGGTCGCCCCAGAGTTACAACGCCGAATGAGGACCAGTATTTGGCAGTTACTTCCAAAAGAAACAGGCGGAGCACAGCCTCAGACCTGTCTCGTCAGCTCTCTTCAGCCACTGGTACGACAATTTCAAGGCAGACCGTGTACAGACGCTTAGGGCAGATTGGTCTATATGCTCGTAGACCTGTCAGATGTGTTCCACTTACTGCAACTCACTGTCACCTGCGGTTAGCCTGGAGTAGAGAGCACGCATTGTGGCACCACAACAGTGGGCTTGTGTGATGTTTTCCGACGAGTAAAGGTTTAGCTGGCAGTCTGATTCTCGCCGGACTTTCATATGGAGAGCTCCAGGTACCCGTTACCACCAAGAAAACATCATTGAGCAAACACCGTTACGGTGTTACAGGAGTGCTCGTTTGGGGTGGAATTATTCTGGGTTCCAGAACTGACCTGCATGTTCAAATTGGAACCATGGCAAGCCAAATCTATCGGGACGTCATTCTGGAACAACATGTACGTTTGTTTAAGGGCGCCATGGGCGCACAATTTGTGTTTATGGATGACAACGACCATCCTCACCGTGCAAACATCGTAAGCGAATGCCTTCAATCGGAGGATAGGGACTGGCCAGCATTCTCACCGGACTTGAATCCAGTAGAGCACATGTGGGACATGCTTGGCCGACGAGTTGCATCCCGTCAACCTCCTCCTACATGTCTACCGGAACTTCGGAGAGCATTGCTTTTTGAGTGGTGTAATATCCCCCAAGATCAGATCCATAATTTGATACTCAGCATGCCTAGGCGTTGTACGGACTGTATTCATCGTCTGGGAGACATACAATTTATTAACAATCATACCAACCATGTAATATTGGTTTTTTGTAAATAGGTTTTTTTTTTTTTTTTTTTTTTTTTTTTTTTTTGTAATTTGCTCCAGGGAGAAAGAATCGCTAATTTTTTTAATAATATCAAACATATAGCATCTTTTTTTTGCTCTTTACCATTTGTTTAATAAATAAGCTTTACAAATAAGTCAAATTTGTTTTGCTTCTAACTCTTCCTTTGCCTGATTTTGCATTATCCTTAATTTATGGACATGGGTGTAATTACACATGGGGCACTTCGCATGCCTTTTCATCAAGGGTGTGTCATCATCACCATACAGCACTTACTTTCTCCCCACCATTTAAGATTCTAAGTTTAAGGAAGTTTTAATTCGTACACCCTTCACAAAGAGAAACCTAAATTGAAAAGAAGAGGGGGTGAAACAAGAAAATGTTTCGGTCATCTTTCAACAAATTACCATAGTTACGAGGCAAGCCAGACAGGAAAAGAAATTATCTTGATATGCCTCTTCTAAAGTAGCAATCTATAACATACAGACACGAGCAAAAAGTAACTGATATTTTTTCACACATTTGTCACTCAAATACTACATATTTACTTTTCACTGATATGCAGTATACGAAGCATGCGTTTAAAAAAAGCTAACTGCAAGCTTCCTTAATTATTGATCCGAGTCATGTACACAAAGTATGGAGTTCCTCAAATTAATATAAAATATTTTATGAAAAATTTCAACACTAAGAAAAGCTAATATAAAATATAAATATACGAGTATCTATCACTTTCCTTAAACCACAATTCTTGTTAGTAAGATATATATATATTATGATGTAATATACAAATTTCATGCCTTTATGTGCAAAATTTGGAGAGCTATTTGAGAATGAATTTATTGATTTAAATCACATTTCATGCCCTATATAACACCAACTGGTGTTATATAGGGCGCAGCCCCCTGCCCCCCTGACTGAGAGTGCCTCAGTCTTATTAATTTAAGTGGGAGCCGCCCAACCGATATAGTGGCTAGCGTCGCTGACTGCCATGCCGAAGCCCCGGGTTTGAATCCCGGAGAAGGCATAATTTTTGTAAATGTATAGTGTCGGTGCAGCATGGCACCCTAAATACGCGGCGAGCAAAAAGTGCTCTTGTGTGGTTTGATAGAAGAGAAGAGGTGTGGGAGACTCTTGACCCGTGCCCCCAGGGTGTCCGGAACTGAGCTAAATCACACTGTCAACTGAATGGTGCATAATCTAGTGCTCCTTGCCTTGTCTCAGTATCATTCCCAACTGAAATGAAATTATCTTTATCACATAATTTATCCCAAAGTTTCTTTATTAAATCATGGTTATTGAAAGCATTTTCTAGTTGATGATAAGGAAGTAAATGATACAGCCATTGTGTCTGTTCAAAAGTGTGAAGCTGAGAATGATTCAAAAATCATATTTGGGTTTTATATCAGTAATACAACAGAATAAAGATTGATACCTACTTAACAATGAGTCAGTTGGCATTTATAAAATGATACAGTAAAATTCCATAAGTCCGCAAAGCTTGGGACCAGAGGTTGTGCGGATTTTAAGATTTCAGGACAGAAAAGATAAAGCATAATATTCTGACTAAAAGTGCAAAATAGTTTGGTGTGTATTTAATTATGGCAAAGCACACGAGGGCTATCTGCCTAAAGGGAGGGATGCCTTTCGTGGAGGACTTTCTAAGGGAAACTGGCTCGTATACACGTTACACATGGGGAAAACCACGAAAACGCCCATGCAGCCAGCCCGTTCGCGGGATTCGAACCTCAGACCGAACTACCAGTGTTCAGCGTCTTTACCGCTCGGCCGCTGGTGGGCTAAAAGTGCAAAATAAAAAAGGCGTATTAGATACATTTAATTAAATTATTATATACATTATTGCAATAATTTATTATAAGCATTAAATTATTATTACATATATAAATTGATTATATTATTCATTGTATTATATGTACACAGAATCGAGGTTTTCCGATTTCGCCTCATGCAAAGATATCCGGTTTCAGATTCTGCTGTTAGAATCACTGTTGCTGTAAAATTTCAACAGCTTTTCTTTACTTTTCCATATATCATAAACAATCATGTTGCAATTCCATACCATTCTGCTATAAATTGAGAAGTAGCACCTACCTCCATCTTTTGCAGAATTTGCACTTTTTGCGTTACCGTCAATGCAACGTGTTTATGTTTTTCAATGTTGCAAGAAGTAAAATCATGAGTGCATTTCTTATCTGTCATCATATCAAAAAGGGCTGAAATTTAAAATATTCTTAATTTATCCACAAAATATCCGGATAAAAAAAAGGCAGCATTTAACTATCTCGTGAAATAACAAAGCTCACAAAATACAACAATGTGAATTGTGAACGTGAACGAAGAGTTGAGTGAATCGTCTGCTTATTTACCTGGATGCAGATTAGAGGGAAAAAACTTTTATCTTATTTTTTAAACTTTTTTATGTCAATAATTTGGTATTTCCATTATGACTCATTATTATTCGGTAAGTGTTTTTTCTTCGATATTTCGTACTGAATGTCGCAGTTTCCGGAACCTACAAACTGAATATTTATATTTTGAGAGGCAACGTGGATTTCAGGTCGGCGGATTTTCGGTATTTGACTGTATTTTTATAAGGAAAAATTAAAATCAAAAAGTAAAATCATAAATGTAACTTATTTATTGCACCTCATCTCTCTGTATTGCAAAAAAAAAAAAAGGTTTACTAAGCTGCATTTGGCATTATTAATTATTAGGTCTAAATATGGTATGGCTTCATCAGCCATTCTAATTTTCCAAATGTTTAAAAAAACCTCCGTTATTAAATATCTCTTGAACTGATTATGTGGTTATGGCAAAGCACGCCAGAATTATCTGCCAAAGAGATGCCTTTATGGAGGATATTTTAAGGAAACTCGCTCACATTATGCTACACAAAAAAGCACAAAAACAAGACTTGGCTAGTCCATTCACTGAGATTTAAATCCTGGTCAAGCTACCAGTGTTCGGCAATCTTACCACTAAGCTATTGGTAGGTCATCTGATAAGAGACCCAAGATTCCAGTTTAAAAATTTAGTGAAATAAAAATCTTCAGACTATGATATTTTTGATGAAGTGGTGTCTTTTAGCAAATAAATAAATAAATAAAAACTTCAATTTTTAAATGCTCCTTGTAACGCAAAGTATCCAATGATAAAATTTTTTTCTGAAGCCAGATTAAATACCCACCCCCAAAAAAATCCTCCCATGATCAAAATTATTCAAAAGATTTTGGGATTGTATAAAGACACTGTTACATACATCAATGCTCATAAGTTTCAATTGCAAATTCCTAAAAAAAATTTTACTTCAGACATATATTAATTCTCATTTCTATAGCTATAAAAATTTGAAAAATTTTATTTTACTTAATTCAGTGCTTATATGACCCCTAAAAATCAATACTTTTTCTTGTTGTTTTAATCAGGGAAAATGGTTTACATCATATAAACTTTATATCTCTTCATGCTGAATTCCACATGTTACAGAATAATTCTTTCTTTTAAAAAGAAGTTTTGAAATCTTTATTAGGATGAACAGTGATTTACAGATTGGAACAATAAAAATTTTATTTTTATATAGTTTTTTTAAAAGACAGCAGACATCAGATCAGAAATGCTATAATCTGAAAGACTACCATAATTAACATATTTCTTAATGCATTTCACATGAATAAACCTGAACAGAACAGACACTGAAAGCTAAAAATCGTAAATTCAAATGATCAACAACACATATTTTGCAAATTTATGGCAGGAAACTGTTATTATATTCCTGAATGCACATAGAACAAATTCTGAAAACAGGAGACCTTATTTTAGATGTGCAACCAACTGTGATTATAGTCCTGAATATACATAGAATAAATCCTGAAAACAGAAGCCTTCTCTCAGATGTGTAACCAAGAATGTACTTTCTTTGGGAGAATTCTTTGAATGTTACCATTTTCTAATTATATACTAATTACTTCTAAAATAATTATTTCTATAAAAATGATAAATTAATTGATATTTTATTTAAAATTAAGTTGTTTTAAATCAATGACATTTAGAAAATATTCAGTTGATTACCACCCCATTAATGCTATGGCTTGCTCTGACTACTCTGCTTGCAAAAATTTTGAAAACAGAATTTGCCTTAAAAATGTTGATTGGTACAATGGGTCTACAACCAACTGAGAAGGGAAGCACAGATAGTTCAGTGTATGTTTCATGTCATCCAGGTTCTATGGCTTTTCTCTCAACATTTTGTAAAAGTCTGTAACACAATCTCCATTGCTCTATTATTCATTACTGTTGTCTTTATCTTGTTGTACTGTCCTTTTTTTAGACCACTTTAAGCCTTTTTTTGGCAATGTTGTCGCACAATCTTATGACTGCTATAGAGGCATAGTATAAAATTCTGGCATCTATCATTCTTGCAACTCATGCACATTGTTAGCCTACCAATAAAACTTTAAAATCCACTTATGCTGCTTTAAAAAAATTAGTGACTTTTGTTATTTTGTGTATACTATCCTGCCCTTGAAAAACTAAAAACATTCACACTTCCACCAGCAAGCAAAAACAAAACAGTATGGGGTAAGCCTACACATGCTTACCCCCATACAATGTAGACAGTGCCTAATTCAAATACAAAATGCCCAATCAAATCATTGTTAACAGTTTTTTGTTACTAATGCTAGGTGCATAAATATTATTTTTAGATAATCTGTAGCAATAAAGCATATCACTAACCAGGCTATATTTACATTGCAGAAGAAATTTAAGAGAACATTACTAAGAAAACAATAATCTTCCTGCATCACACTAATTTACTACTAACAGAAAATTCAAGCAAGATTTACCATAATGAAAATTTTATGCCAAATTGGGAAAGAGAAGTACATATAAAATTCACAATTTAAAAAAAATCATACCTTTGTTTAATAATTATTATTTTAACAGATAACATTTACAGAAATATAATATACAACTACAATATAATACAGCATTAATCATCATCGACAGTCCGTTGTCTTGCATTCTTTTTACATGAACTGTTAAATTTTCTCTTCTTGAAAGTCACTTCTTCATTAGAGTCCATGTCAGATAGCTGGCCAATTGTTTTTTCTTTGAATTTTAATCTAGGTTCCTCATCTTTCACGACAGGAATAGCAACTTCAATATAATTTTCTGGTAGCTTAGGCAACTCAAGATCATATTGTACAGGTTTTCTAAAAGACACCAGAAGGAAAAATTGTCATAATCTATTTTTTTTTTAAAGAACTAAAAACAACTCTAAAGAAAAAAGATTTTTTTAACATCATCTGATCTCCTAGCATACAGCTTAAATGCTGTCCTATGACTAATCCCTCACTCGCCCCCCCCAAAAGATGTACATAAATATATTCAAAATTATACATATATTGAAAACTTAAATTTCAAATATATGAGATGTATGAAAAGTACATCTACAAGCTTTATTTTTTTAGCATTGATACTAGAATGTGTGCTTCTAGACATAAATTTTCTTAAAACAAGGTTAAGAACTTAATGAATACTGTTTCAGAACTTTGCACCTGAAGGTTCTGTGAATATAAAATCTAATCTTTTATAGAGTAAAATATTTACAATGCTTGAATAAGCTTAGTATATAAAATTCTATATCTTCATGCAGAAATAAAAAAATTATACCTATGAGTACATTTACTGTAAGCAAATTGTTTCATGTATATCTGAATGATTCATAAGCAACCATTTGTTTTGAAGAACATAAATTAACTGTTAATGCTGTTTTCCTCTTTGCATTTAAAAAAAAAGAGGGGGTTACATTTTCCAACCAGCCTCCTACAGAACAGCAAGCAGTGGACTATTTTTGAAGTTACGGGATCCTACTACAAAAAATTGTGCATTAACATTTTTTTCTGAAATAAGTACAGCACTTGAAAAAGTAATTTTCTTAAAAGAGAAAGTAGTTCTTAAGTAGCTACCATATTAAACAGATCAATTTTGGGAATCAATGCTCAGTTAATCAGAGACAGAAAAATAAATTTGTTTAATTTGGGAATGAGAGAGTTAAAAGATAAACATATTGGAATTTATATTAAAAATATGGTTGAAAAAGTACTAGAAAAATAAAATATCGATATTCAGAAAATTCATTCAATTACTACGGACAATGGAGCTAATATGATTTCATTTGTCAACTTATTAGGATCCAAAATTGAAGACAAATATTCAGTTATCAAAATGGAAGATGAAAATTTCAAAATTAGGGATCACTTTGAAGACACAGTATTTTTTTTATCATATCTTTTATTTCAATAAACTTATCAGAATAAGATATGCTGCACATACACTACAACTGGCAATTAAAGACTCTATAAAATACACCGATTTCAATGCATTTATTTCTGATGCTTGGTGATTGGTGAAAAAATTTCACATTCCATCTCTTATGTTAAAATTTAAAGATGCTAATATTAAAGGAAAAATTTTGGATTGTCTAACTAAATAGAATAGTGCATACAGTATGTTAACATTTTTTATTGGAATGCAAAGATTTTAGCTCATCTTTGGCAAAAAGAAATTTAGATTAGTATTTTGCAGACAGTAAAAGGGTGAAATTGAAATTAATTGTTGATACCCTACAATCCCTAACGGAAGCAACTTTGAAACTACAAAGTGAAGAATTAACTTCACTTTGTAGTGGAGTTTATTTACAGAATGTTATGGTTGTTTATTTATGGAATTTGGACCCACTGCAAAGTAAAGATACAAAATTTTTAAAATTTCTTTGCAGATATTTTATATAATCAGTTATCTAACAGGGAAGCATTGTTAATAGAAAATGATAGTTTAGTAGGAGCAGTATATTTGGACCCATGTTATCAAATTTTGCTTTTCACTTCTCAAAAAGTACAGACTGTGCAACATTTAAAGACTATTTGGAAAAATTACAATTTTTGGAAAAATCCACTTCAATAATAAACGAGGAAACACAATCTTCTATTGAAAGTGATGAAAAGGAAGATGATTTAAACTTTTCTTTAAAGTAAAGAATTAGCAATAAAAACACATAGATCTCCTATGTCTACCAAAATTGACAATGGATTCATTCTAAATCATTTTGACAATTCCGAAGGCTCAATAAAAAACATAATATTTTAGATTTCTGGAAAGAGAATAAAATTACCTATCCACACTTGTATAAGATTGCAATGGTGGTTTGGGCAGCTCCAGCTACACAAATTAGCATTGAAAGGGCATTTTCAGGTTTTGAAATTTATTCTCCGAAGGAGTAATCTCAGTAAAACCACGATAATAGAAGATATATCAATAATTAAAGGCAATTTTCATATGTTAAATGAATAAATAAACATATTTTTTACAGAATTATTGCAAGGCCAAATGCACGATGTGAGCAACAAGTGTCAAGTGACGAGGGTCAACATAATTGTGAACATAATCATGAACCTAGTTGTCAAATGCAATTTTCATAATGGATGACAATGCCAATACTCGCCACTCACTGCTCATATCGTACATGCTAGTAAATTGTATTAATTCGTATAGTGTACCAATTAAAAAAATCTTCTAAAATTTGATAGAATTACATTTTTTATGATAGAATTATATTTTTAGTACAAATAACAGCAGACATAAAATAAAATTTTTTATTCGGAACAGAACTGAAAACCATTATTTTTGGCGGAATGAAAGCCGGAACTGAACCGACAAATTTTTTTTTTTTTTTTTTTTTTTTTTTTTTAGTTGAACCAAAACGAAAACTGGAATGGAAAAATTACAGTTCGAAGCAAAGTTACATTTTGAGACATGACTAATCACAGTCATGTACAATATGCTGAAGTAAGACAAAATAAATACAATATAGACAAATTAAACATTCCATCAATCAGCATAAAAAATTCTACAATGTCTATAGCACATTAAGACATTTCAGATCAAACAATATTTACTAAGAAAAATTATGCTGAAATGGATGGGGAATGAAATCTGAAATGAGTAACATAGTAGTTAGTAACATTAATTTTAAAAATTTCATCCATTGCTAGAAAAATTTTACTTAGCAGTTTTCCTTAATAAAAAATAATAATTAAAAAAACAGTAGATTCAGTGACCTTCAGATCGGGGCATGGGTTAAAAAATCGGAGGAGTTGGCAGCTATAAAATAATTTAATTGGCAGAGTAGTCAGTGATAGCACATTATGCTTTTTAAGCATTCTTCAGCTGCATTAAGAATGAAAATTCAGCAGAAAAATATGCAAGCAATTGGTATAAGCATCTACTACCTCAGCTGAATCATTGTTCAGCTTCAGAAAAATGAAATGCAAAACAGCAAGTGTAACAACTATTTTTATATCAGAAGCAAAGGGCAGAGCAAAATGAACATAAACATAGCACCACCTGAGGAAAAAATAAGAAAAACTAAGATATCAGGGAAAACAAAGAACCTAAGATATTATACAGATAAAATAAGATATTAGGAAAAAAAAACTATGATATTTTGATCTGCCTATTGCGTTTAATATAAAAATGATTGTTACTCTTTCTCCTTCCCCCCCCCTTTTCCACCTGAGGAAGATGATAGACTTGCGTCTGTTCAAAATTTATGCCAAACTAAGGCTGTTTCCCATTCCCTCCATATTTTAAATTTTATATTAAGTAATTTCTCTTCAAACTGTATCTTTATTATCTGGCCAACAAATTCATGAATAGAGAAACTTTAACTTTAAAACTATCATTTTAAACATGCAAATGAAAAACAGCTCCATTTTAAATATATTTTACAGTTAACCATGGAAAAGATTATTTTTATTATGCATCATGAAAATCATATGGTATCTAAATGCATGACAAAATTCAGTAGTCTAAATCTGATGCTAAGAAATTCAGTGCATGGAAGGGTCAGACACCTTTTGTGCTATAAAAATTTCAATAACTAGGGCTTATTCTTCCTGTCAGCTGTGTTACAGTATGCAAGAATCATGTTGCATTTAAAAGAACACTAAATATCCAAAATATTGTGCAATTCATTTAATCTGCATTTAGGTTATAAGATCAAAAGTGTAATATCAAATTAACATGACGAACCATTCAACTTGATAGGAATAGATTGCAAATTAATTTTACACACTTAAAATTGCTTGACAATAAAAATTTAAAGTCATTTGTTAAAATAGAATAGATTATAAATGTCAGTAAAATCATAAATTTTTCATCAATTAATATAACATACATAACAAAATTTTCTTACTTATGTTCAACAGTGACCCACTGACCATATGGATCAATCCTTGGTTGGGGTCCAATAGCAAAGGATGAAGTATCATTACTGTCTTTATTTTCCTCATTTTGAAGAGAAGATGTATCTTCTGGATTTTCTTTGTCTGCCTACAGAGAAGAAACACTATTGCTAATAATTACGTCATTTGATATGAAATACTGTTTTTGTAAAAATACACAACAGATGCAAGTATAAGCTACACCCCTTTTCTGAAATGATATACTTGGACAAAAACTGAAATTTTAGAATTCTGGAGAGAGATGAGATACGGGTATACAGAAATATGGCAATGTTGCAAGTCCCAAACAAAAATGTAAAGTGATACACTTAGCATTGATGACTGCTCATGCTTTTAAACATGACTCAACTGAGAGTGCGTTAAAAAGGTTTAAACTACAAATGGTACACATGCAAAAAGAAAGAAATCAAGCATTAGAAAGGAAGTTTAATGTAGATTTAATTTTTTAAAAAATGCTGCTATGAATTCAAATAAAGGTTGCTTTTGAGAAAAGATCATAAAACCAGCAATCATTTCGCAAAAAGACAGCACTATATCTCTAACTGAAAGCAAATCTGTTGACATATATCAGTGAAATTCAGATATATGAATTTGTTTACTCAGTTAATCTTAAAGCATAAAAGAAAAAATCAACATAAAGCTAACTGTTAGTAAGACGTAAATAAAATACCACTATCTTCTTTCAAATATATCTAATGCTAATATAATAAGTGTAAAATATTTAATGCTATTTCATAAATTTTCTAAAGTTGATTTTATTCTTAAATTTCTTTTATAATCATTTTTATTAAATTATGTTTAATAATAGTACATTCTATTTACAGATCAATTTTATTCTTAGGATGTTGTTACAAAAATGGCATTCAGGTTTAAATAATAACTTTAATTAAATTTATTCTTTTCCCATTTGCTGATAGGCCCTTAATTTTTTCCACTAATGGCTGTGATACTTCTTTGGCAATATGAAGCAACTCCAATGAAGGAACACAAAAAAAACTTTATTTAGCACTCAAATGGCGACATACAAAACAAGAAAAAAAAAAAAAAAAGAATTCTAACATTTAAAAATAATTTACATTCTTCGTGCGAGAGTTGCATATGGCACTCGAGCCTGGTTTCAAATATTGCCATTTACAAATACCTATCTATTTCATCTATTTAAATTATTTAAACTACAAGATTTTAATAATATTTAAAGCTGTTACATGGCCCTTAAAAGTCCTTAAAAATACTCAATTTCCACATATAGAAATGTGTATGAACTGTGTAATTTATATATTTCTCATGATGTTATGTTAATTATGGGCTTCACTGTTAGATTATATTGTTCTATTGTGTTTCCCTATATTGCATTATATTATGGAAATCTATTGTAATGCCAGGAACGTTATGGGAACTTAGGACCACAAATGTTTATTTAGCATAAAACAAAAATTGACTATTAGAAAACAGAGGCACAATTTTCTATGTCCTATTCTAGAATGAGTATTTTATTAAATTTTTAAGGAAAATATAATAATAAAGGCTTAAAATTAATTCTGACGACTACCTGAATGTTCTTCTGATAATGTACCCCAAATTGGAAAAATTGGATGACAAATTTCATTTATACGAATTTTTTTCCAAAGTTAGTCTTAGCAGCGTAAATTGCCCGTCCCCACAGGATGACGCATCTGGTTAACGCGCCGTCCCAAGAGAACACTTCTGTAACAAAGGTGCCTGTCGTGAATGGTTATAATGAGACAATCACTAGAAGAATTCATTTATACTTTAAGATAGTATAATTTATACTTTTAAATAATAGTAATTAAATATTATATGAATTAATAAAAATAATGAATGGGTGTTGTATGAAATGATATCAGCAAAGAATCTGAAATAGCAAAATCTTAGAAGGCAGCATAAGGAAAACGTTTTTAGTGTGAATTTGGCAAGATGATAAAACATAATTATTTATCAGCTCCTCAAACTTGCTAAAATAAAATAATCATCTCTGAAATCTACTACACTCAGTTCCATCATCCATGAGCTAAAACTATTAGGATGCTTGCAATAATCAAGGGGACAGGAATAATAAAGTTTCATGATTAAGTACGACATTATTCTTCACATAACAGACACTAAAAAATTGAGAAATTTGGATGCTGACAGCACATGGCTTCAAATATTTAGAAGTTTTGCCAGCAAGGCTGAAAATTTGCATTGTCTTTACCACATGGCCCAGATCTTGCACTAACAAATTGCTAACTTTTCCACTAATTAATGGCACAAAGCTGAGTGAAATCTATGACTTCAGTTCTAAGCTGGCTTACAAATCCAAAATCCGTCTGAGGACTTGTGTGCTGAGGACATAGAAAATTGTGCCTCTGTTTTGTAATAGTCAATTTTTGTTTTATGCTAAATAAACATTTGTGGTATGTTCCTAAGGTCCCCATAACATTCCTGGCATTACAATATTCCATAATATAATGCTATATAGGAAAACACTTACAATAGAACAATATAATCTAACAGTGAAGCCAATAATTAACATAACATCATGAGATATATATAAATTACATACACATTTCTATACGTGGAAATTAAGAATTTTTAAGGACTTTTAAGGGCCATTAGTGGAAAACATTAAGGGCCTGTCAGCAAATCGGAAAAGAATAAATTTAATTAAAGATATTATTTAAACCTGAATGCCATTTTTGCAACACCATCTTAAGAATAAAATTGATCTGTAAATAGGATGCATTATTATTAAACATAATTTAATAAAATTGATTATAAAAGAAATTTAAGAATAAAATCAACTTTAGAAAATTTATGAAATAGCATTAAATATTTTACACTTATTATATTAACATTAGACAAATTTGAAAGAAGATAGTGGCATTTTATTTACGTTTTACTAACAGTTAGCTTTATGTTGATTTTTTTCTATGTTCCATTTTGTCACGTATTTGCTTAATCTAGAGGTTTAGTATTGAGTGAGTGCAAAAGTTCTACCCATTTTTGGACATCCGTATTTGCAGTGGCATTGACGTCGCACATGACATCGTAACGATGAAAATCGTTGGCCAATCAAACATGTGGATGCCTCGCATATAAATGCATTGTGTCTCATGTAATTATCTCAAAAAAAAAAAAAAATCTCAGAAGGTATAACATGGAAAGCATGAAGGAGCATATAGGACACATAAGTTTGTTAAACAAGTTCGATAAAAAGAGTACGGCAGCCGCAGCATAGCATGTCGCAATGTTTGTCAAGTTTATGAAGAGGATGCAGTAGATGAAAGCACATGTCATCAATGGTTTCGTAATTTTAGGGAAGGAGACAGAAGCTGCCAAGATCAGGCTATGAGTGGACACTCATCACATGTTGGAGAAGACAATATTGACCAGGGCCATACGAAACAACCTGAACCCACCATGCAAGATTTAGTGGAGACCTTCAACGTACACCAAACAATGGTTGAGAGATGGCTGGTTAAGTTGAGTTTCATGAGAATGTTGTATCGTTGGGCTGCATATAACCTGACAACTAATCAACGGGATGACTGAAATCACCACCTGTGTTTCTTTGCTTTCCCGGTACAAAAACGACCCATTCTTGACATGAATTATGACAAGAGATTAGAAGTGGTTTATGTACTGTAACATAAAGTGCCATAGGAGTGTGTGTTGTCCTTCTGATCCACCTGCATCAACTTCGAAAGCCGAACTTCATAAGAAGGTGTTATTGAGCGTGTGGTGGGATGTGCAGGGAATAATTCACTGAAAGGTCCTGCCACTCAACCAAACCATCACTGCTGCCTTCTACTGTCTACAGTTAGACAGGCTGCATTCAAATTTGGTAGCGGCCAGGTCTCATCAATCATCGCGGTGTTATCCTTCATCATGATAATGCCAGACCACATGCTGCTATTATCACTTGTCAAAAGTTACTCGTATTCGGTTGGGAGGTTTTACACCATCCTCCCTATTTTCCTGACTTGGTACCAACTGACTATCACATATTTTGTGCATTGAACAATTCCTTCAGTCAGAAAATCTTTGATGATCTTGATGCTGTGAAAACTGCCATCCAAGATTTTTTCACTTGAAACCACCGGAATTTTACCGCCGTGGGATTCATCTCCTACCAAAAGATGGCAAGAGGTCATAAATAATAATGGGGATTATGCACAATAATAAAGTAATGTTCATTTTGTGTTTATTTGTTCTTCTTTATGGGTAATGAAAATGGGTAGAACTTTTGCACTTACCCAATAAATAGCAAGTAGATTTTTCGTCAAATGGCATAGGCTAAAATGAGAAGTAAAATCATAATTGGTATAATTCGCAACAGAAGATTGGCTGTTGCCACCGCTGCCTTGAAAGAGACCTGCTGATCAGACCAAATTTGAAGTCCTGATGTAGGCATGGTCGGCAAGTTTTGAAAGTTAGTTGTGCTCACCTGTCTGATGTAGTTAGTGCTGTAGCTTTGCATAGATTTCCTGGGTTTGTAACTCAATTAATATAGTTTAATATATCAATAATTCACTAAAACACTAGATTGTTTTAAGTTGTTTTGTATTGTTTTAAGTCACACTAGATGCAAAGAAAAAGCTTTAATTTTTTTTCATTTTTATGCTCTATCTTGTCACCATGGTAAGGGTTAATGACTACTACTGTTCACTCATACAATATGAAAAAGTACATTGTAAACATAAAATAAAGCACACATTGTATTTTTCAATTACACATTTTGATAATGAGCATAATTTATTGATTTAATTTTATGTAAGTGACCTGTTTACTGCATGAATATGATATTATTTAGAATGGCTCACTAAAAGTACTTACTAATTATCAAGTAATGTGAATATCATGAATTTCATATTATCTACAGTTTCACATAACTGCTTCTTAACATGTACCTTTCCATGAGTACAGCATGAAAACAAAACTAAAAAAAAAAATTGGGGTAGAAAATTTCTGAGACAAATTCAGTGAAAACTGAAAAATAGTTGCTGCTTGATGAAAGGGCAAAGTTGAGTTATTCTGGCTAATTTACACACAATTATAACAAGTACATACATAGTCATATAATTAGCTACGCTTAGAAGAGTTTCTGCACTTAAAAAAAAAAAATAGAACTCTAATATTATGAATCCCTCATAAGATCTCACATGAGTTCTCGATTTTAAGATTTTTCAGAACTTTCATCATAAAGCAAATTTAGTTAGAACTATAAAATGCATAACAATTACTTTCAACTTTTGTTATAATGATGTTTGAAAAATCAAAAACATACTTCTTTGCTTTCTGCATTTTGTATGCCTTGTTCTTCTAAAACCACATAACTTTCTTCAGGTGGGTCCCACCGTGATTCTGTTTAAATATAATAAAGTCATTAGAAAGATAAGAAAAACAAGAATACAAACTTCATGCATACTAAAAACATTACAAAAATCAGAAACATTAAATGTATTAATCAGAATTGACAAAATATATCTTTAAAAATAAAATTTTTTTACAACAGCAAAGCAAATGCATCATATTCATAAAGACTTTTAAAAGAGAAGGCAGTAGAACATTTATTAAAATGGATGCTCATTAATATAGCAAGATTAAAAATAAATAAATAAAATCCAAACCTAAACCAGACACATGCAATTTTAATAAAAATAAAATTAATACTTTAGATTATAATCTAGCATCTCAATTTATTTAATAAAATGTTTTTAAAAAATGCATAAAAAATTAAGACATAAAAATTCTAAGTTTAAGGAGAAAATGAAATTTAATCTTTGTATGCAGATTTTAGTTTGACATCTGAAAAAAATGTTAAGATGTTATGACAGGCCTAATTAATTAAGAAATAGTCCTTCAGAAATCAAAAATACAGAAATATAAAATCCTATTTTTGAAATTAATTATGTAAAATGGAAAACCAAATGATCAGAAAGAAAACAATTGCTGCAACATTATGTCACCTTAAATTAACACCATGTTACAAAATGTCCAGCTGTGGTAAGATAGCTTCCCCGCAAAGCAGGATTAGGGTTGCCAGAAAATGGCAAGGGAGGGTGGGGTTGCCCGTTTGGTGACATTTGGCGAGAGAATTGGAGATGTGCCGTGGGCAGGTGGAGAGCGTTCTGGAGCAGGTTCTTGCTGGTTTGGCCAAGGGTGTTCTTGTGGGTGAACCAAAAGCTATACAAACGCTGTTGGTACGCAAAGTAGACAGTGGAATGAGTCTATCGAATGATCCATCAGTCTAGTGTTGAATGCATCATCGATTGCATTATGAGTTATAGGATGGAGAGTTTCGAGAGTAATGTTGAGTTTTGCAAACGACCAAAATGAGTGTGGAATTGTACTCTAGTGCTTTGCCGTGAAGCTGTCTAATAAGCGTGTTTGTCATAGCTTTTTTGCACAACTGTAAATGTATTTTTGGAGCTGTCCTGAGTAATACTGGCTATTATTGTGTAAAAATTGCTATAAATTGTGTTTTCATTCTTCCATTGATTAGCTCAAAAGATTATCTCAAATATCATTACATTTTATTTTATCAGGATACAAATATCTGCAAAATGGAATTAATAAAAACCTCAAATAGGTTTCTTCTGAAGCGCTTAATCCTTTCACATTTGGAGCCCAGTTATTTCAATCGATTGAATGTTTCACATTGGCTAGCCACAGTTACAGTAACAATATGCAAAATAATACCACATATTTAACAAACACACAAGGAAAAGCTCGACATAATTAAGTGTATTTGTTTTCTAACGTCTTGTGAAACATTACAGTTAAAAGTAATTAATCAACAATTATATCAAAAACAGAAAAATAAGTGATCCAGGTTAGTACATTGTTACATCCAAAAGATCTTAAATACTACCTATTTGGTTCAAATACTTTCAAACATATTTTGTTGTCTTTATTGTGGAATATAAAAATCTGGAAAAATGGCAAGTGGTGAATGAGACTTATTTGGAAAGCTGTAATGAAAACAAATCATATATAAATACAGCATACTGAAGAAAAGGGCAGCTAAATGTGCTCATGAGAATCTGAAGAAATTGGTGATGCTTAAGGTACAAAGTACCAAACTGTCAAATTCATTAGTGGCTTACTGATGACTACTGCTCTATAAATACTTCTAATGATTACATAATAAAATTTCAGTAACTGATAAAAAATTAATTAAGCGGTTCAGAAAAATTATAGGAAATTTAGAACAAAATAATGATTTCAAATATTTATTCTGTTTTTGAATTATTAACAAAAGACATTAATAAATATTAAATTAGACTATTTATTAAATGGAATTAAAACATACTTGGTGATGAAATTCAACAGGTTTACAAATGCAAAATCTCAATAATACTTTGATATGAAATTAGTTAAAGAAAAAATAAATAACTATTTAATATCGGAAAGCACACAAATTTAATTACAAAAATATGAAAACAATGTGAAAATAATAAGCTAGTTTAGAAGAGCTATGCCTTTTATTGGTATTATTAATCTCAATGAAATCCATTCTGTAATTCAATTCACTTGTAGCTTTTCTCTAGCAGAACACGTACTACAGCCTTACAGAGCTGATAAAAAAAATTCTCATATTAGTTCTGTAGCTTTCCAACAAATGACAGAACAAAATTGCACCAGCAACTATAGTTCCCTCCCATCTTGATAAGAAAGTGTGCCAAGAAATATTGCTAAGCTAATACTGAATTACTATAGTGGTACTTTTGCAGTCATATGTTATAACAGTTTTGGACCTGTCAGTCATATATGTAACAATATTTGCAGTCATATGTTATAACAGTTTTTGGATCTTCATTTGGTATTTTTGCAGTCATATGTTATAACAGTTGTTAAACCTTTTTATCCATCATGGAAAAAAGGTGGAACAACAAGGCAATGAAAAATCTTGCATTCAACTATAAAGGCATTGAAAATGTTTCAGCAGTAAGTCATATGCAATGTTTTAAGTTTCACAGGTGCCTCAAAATTAGAACAACATCCTCTGAAGATGAAAAATGATCTGAAAAAGACTTCCATGAGTATAGCCCCTGAAAATGTCAAATGACTTTGGAATGTCTGCATACAGAATCTTGAGGATGATCAACAACATTGTAGACATTATTACTGCATCATATGGGTCAATTCTAATTTCTTGAACATGTGTTGTACACATTGGATTGTCCATGATAACAACACACTATGTCATTCAGTCTCCTTATTTGTGAGTCTCCAACCAACCACAACTTGTTATGCTGCACAACCTGTTCAACTTATTTAAATCTTGCCAACTTCTCCCTCTTTCTGAAGGTAAAGATGCAGCTGAAAGACTTCCCTTTTCATGCCACTGCCAAGATACAACATTAATTGCATATGGTTATGGACTCAATTCTGAAAAATTATTTCAAGGCTGCACTCCAGTGGTGGCAGAAATACTGGAGCATTTGCATGGCTCTACAAGTTGACTATTTCAAAGAAGATGATGTTGAAACTTACATAAATGAAATACTTTTTGGGCAATACAGCTTTTTGATCCACTAATGCAAAAATACAGAACTTCAAATTTTAAATTTCATTGAAAATAAGGCTCTCCACAACATGTATAAATTGCACCAAATTTTAAAATTGCTGTCATTAACCAAACTTCAGAGCCATATGTGCCTTTTGCAAAGGCCCCTTATCTTTTATACAGTACAAAGTCTTTAATGCGAACTCGTCGGGACTTTGGCGATTCCGGATCAGGGTTTTTTCTGGATTATAGATCATCAATTTAAATCTGGTAAGATGGCATGGAGAAATTATAAAATTAAAAATATGAAAGCATAATTTATGAAATAGAGAGCAATTATGATCTAAAGGGTATCAAAATTTACAAAAAGCTTAATATTTATTTGTTTACTTTATTAAATATTTCTTTCAATTAAGTTGTTTAAGTTGCTTCGTTTTATGTGCTAATACTTTCTCTTTAATTCTATAAACAGACTTAATTTCTTGCTCAGTTACAAAAATGCGCTGTTCAAGTCCTGTAATTGCTGTGCCAAGAATACCGACTAACTTGTCAATCGAAATTTTTTCGTTTTCACTAACCTCCCTGTCACTTTATCCATTTTTTGCAGCAATTCCACTTTTTGTTTGATGGACATTGAAACATGTTTTCCCTTTGTAGATCCTTTGGCAGCTCCTAATTTTAGCCAAACTTATACTGTCTGTTATACATTAAACGCGCATGCGTAAATGCATATGCGCATGAATAAAGGTATTATGAGCATGCATAAACTCATAGCCGCATGCGTAGCGCAGAAAGTTTGCAGCTTTGAAGTCTGGATTATAGATCATTCCGGATTAAAGACTTTGTATTGTACTTATGTAGCTGGTGAAGGAAGTTTGAAAAATTGCTAAAACCCTGAAGATTGAGAGATCACAAAAAATTAATATGCCATGAAATAAATAAATAAATTCCATTTTTAAAATGCATGAGAATTCATGAATTTGCATATTGCAAACAATTTTCATCTTTCTCACCTGATGTCTCAATATTCCAATAATATCTGTAACCTTCATCTGTCATTGCTTCATACCATTTCCTTGAAGAAGTTTCAGATAATTCTGTTTTATTTTCTGGACAAGTCCTTTCTTGCTTTTTTAAAGCAGCATTAATAACTTTTTCAATATTTGCTTTTTGTTCCACCACACTTATTTGTTTGTTAAGAGATTCTGAATTTTGTTGTAAATTTGACTTTTGTTGCATACTTGAACGCTGCAAGTCTTTCTCATATGCTTCAAGAGCAGCCTATTGGGGAAAAAAAAATTAATGAAAGCCTCTATGGCAGAGTTTTAAAAAATAATGACAGAAGTAAGAAAACCTAAACTTACTTTTTCAATCTTATCCATTTCATCTTCAAGCTCCTTTTGCTTTTTGTACTCTTTTAATCCCTTTTTTTGAATCTTTAATAAAATTTTAAAATGAATACCACAGAAATAATACATTTCAAAACATTAAATTTCTAATTACAAAATTAGAAACAATATCACAAACAAACAAAACACTCAAGGAAATATCACATAAGATTTTATATAGTTAATGAAAGATGCTAAATTAAATAATACATTCAATACCTGATCACCTGTGCAAGAGTTATTCACATTCCATATAGCAAATTATTCATACATCATTAATTATTATAAATAAACATTATTATTTCTTGCAAAAATAAAAACAAAATATAAATAACAAAACGAATATTCTTAAAAAAAACAAATAAAATCTCAGTCATCATTTTAGTTAGCCTTCCGCGTTTTCAGTGTTCTGCTTTTTTGTGACAAAGCATCTAATGTTGTTTGCCTTTTTCTTTTGCATTGTTCTCTTAAAAGTTCTTCATAAACGGATAGAGCATCTCTAACACCACGCCTTCTTTTGAGCTCCTGTCAAAAATTCGGATCATTTTCATGAATTGATCCATTATTTCAGTTATGGTATACAAATCCCTTTTTACAAATGCCATCGAAAGTTCTTTTTGCTCTTCTTCTGAACCACTGCTGTCACATTTTTGTTTTCTTCTTGTTCAGTTAATTTCTTGAGCTCATCATTAGAAAGACTAGCCGCTGCTTCTTGAATTATTTCTCGACATCTTCCACATTTAACCCCTTCAAAATATGTCTGTACAATACCGCACCAAACAAAGAAATACAAGTACACTCTTTCGGATATGTATTTGAAACCTATTGCTGCATAATATTTCGGGGAATCCCTGTATGCTGCGAGCGATTTCGTGGAATCCCCGGGTTGAAATAAAAGAGCGCTAAGCCGAAACAGCGCTAAACAAAACAGCGTCAAGCGGGGTCTTACTGTATTTTTACAAATATTCTACAAAATCACCTAATTAATATTTTTTTAGCATTCTTGTTCTTAAAAAAGCGAAACAGTTATTTGTAATCTTTTTAAATTTCAAAAGTTTAAGCATATGCATTTTTCATATTCGAATTTTAAAACAATGGTTGATAAATTGACCAATTTTCAAAAATTCACCAAAAACCAGCAAAATAGTTACAAATTTGGTATAAAATTCAGTTAAAATGTTTTTCACTCTATCCAATGATGTAAACAGTAAAATTCCGAGATTTTTACAGGGTTACCACTAGAACAGGAGAATGAAATTACCAACTTTTCCAGGTATGTTTTATGAAAATTCCAGTCTATCCACGTAGTGTGCATTGGCTGTGCTGAGAGGTAAATTAATTATGGTACCACCTGAAAACAAAAATCTGCCAATGCTATATGACTTATATATATAATCCCTAAAGCATTACTATTACAACTATAATAGGAACTGTTTTCTTCACTGAAGATTATTGAGATTAGAATCTGCCCAATCTGGATTTAAAACGTCTTTTTCTGCAGATGTTCTGCAGCTAAACGAAAGAAAGAAATCTATTTAATGATATTTTAAAATAAATTCAGGTACTTTACATCCATCTAGGACGATACATAAGCAAAAAATATGTGCATAAAATTTCGTGATGGTTATACTTCTAGAATTAGTTTCATCAGTATGCCAGACAAAATTGCCTGAAATTTGAAAGTATTATTAACTAATAATAAATAAAGTTAGAAGGAAGAAACCACATAAAATGATACAAATAATATAAAAATAAAGTTAATTACTTAAAGACTAAAACTGAATTACAATAATCAACAATATTTTGGCAAATATAGTTATATTAAATAGTTAGCTTAGATTACTGATCACTATTTTTTTTTTATTTATTTATTTATTTATTTTTTATTTTGCTTCAAATGGAAAAATAGGTTTTTTTTTTTTTTTTTTTTTTTTTTGTATAAAAGATTTTGTGGTAAAATCCTAGTATAAGGTACAACTTTGGCATGATTTTGGAAATTGCTGGCAATACCAAAATGAGCCGTTTACTGCTCATCATAATGTCACTAAATCGCTTGTCAACCACATACTAGGATTAAATAGATTTTGTTTTATACGAGAATGGGAAGGTATTTTCATTCGTTCAACCTTCACTGCACATGCGCATGCAAGTCTCTCGATTCTGAAAGTTAATGAAAACCAAATTTGCTTTATCTGCTGGAAACTTGCTTTGTCTGAAAAAAAAAAAAAAAAAAAAAAAAGCTGGAAAAAAAAAGATTCTTCTTTGAAAAGCTGGAAAGTTGCTTTGTCTTTCTAAAAGACAATCTGATTAGAGCTGTAAAAATTCTCTCTATGCCAGGTGCCCAAATGACACTGATGCAATACATAATTCGTCAGGAAAGTGACCGCTTCCAACACTGGTGCAAAAATTGCTCTCTATGGGATCACTATTGTGAAATTCCTCAACTTTTCCAGATTTTGATTAAAATATTTAAATTCCCTGACCTATTTTGGTCAATTTTTGAATTTCTTGACTTTTTGAAATTTTCTAGGTAGAGTGGCAACCCTGTTTTTAGTTTATGTTATATGGTCAAACATATATATATGTAAGATATAACAAAATACAATAGCTGCTTTAAAAATAATTGGCGACCTCAAAATTAACATTCTAAAGCCGATATACCCCTTATATTCACATATTCTCCAAAATTTCAGACTTTTCTATGTTATATAATGTTTTAACCTCTTGTCCAATCAAATTAATTGTAAACCAAAACTCAGAACTGAAACTTTTCTGACTGCCTCCCTTCTTGCTCTGAAGTACTGTGACACTCTTCCGTTTTTCGCTTATGCTTTCGTGCTGGCAACAGGCTACTTTTCCATGCTGCTGCTGCTTACTTGCTTAAGATGACGTTGTACTTTATAACCCGGGCACTTCGGTACTGTAGTAGCCTCCCCTAACAACTCAGGTTTAGTAAAGAATAAGTAAATTTAGATGTCTCAATAATAGTGAAAAGTTTTAAATTTGTTGTATTTATGAATGATGTATACAAAATTTTTATATTTTAAAATACCTTCCCTAAAATACAATTATGGAAATTCTAAAAAATAAATTATGGTAATTTTAATTCAAAAGAAAAATTGTCCATTTCATTCTTCTTATTGTAGGGTAAATTTCATTAAATTTTTGTAAAATTAAAAAGACTTTAACTTGATTATACAAGTTACCTGTCTTAAATTTCAGTTTTAATTTTGTATAATGTTCTATTTTTATTAGGTAATATGAAAGATTTTTGAAAGAAACCTTAACAATTGTACAATTCCAAAAATCAGTTGCTTTTTCTAAGGAACGGAGGTTTTTCGATCTAATGCACTTAAGCATCCCCCAACCATCAGCAAGATGGTATGCTGATTTTGTTGGAGAGGACATACCAAGGTAATCGTCAAAGTATTCTTGTTTTAGTCAGTATTTCATTATATCATTATGTTTTTACATTGAATTTTCTGTTGTATCTTCAAAAACAAGAAGAAATTTAATTAATCATAAATTCAGTATTATATTTCCATATGAAAATTGGCATCTCAATCTGTATCATAATAGAAATACTTTCATCAACAAAAAGTTGAACGACTTTTATTTGAACATTTACTTTGTGAAACTATTTTCATCAAGATCTTTATAAAATGTCATTGGATATTCTTATCTCAGAACTCTAAAAATGTGCAAAGACTATAGTGTTTAAAATTATTATTGAATTCAAAATTCTATGACTTTCAGTGAAATGTCAAATTGAGCCAAAATATCAGTTAAAATACTATGACAATAATTTTTGTTTAACAGTAAATATTATGTTTCATATTTTCAAAATTATATCTTTCACATTTTGCTACTCCAACACTTTTTCTTCCACTCTGCTCACCCAACCTCTCTTTTGATGGAGGGGGGGATTTGTACGGTATAACAAAACACGGTAGCTGCTTTAAAAATAATTGGCAGCCTCAAAATTAACATTCTAAATTCGGTGATCTCCCCCTTAATTCATCTGTTCTGCCAAATTCTAGATTTTTCTATGTTATATAATGTTTTAACCTCTTGTCCAATCAAATTAATTGTATACCAAAACTCGGAACTGAAACTTTTCCAACTCCCTCCCTTCTTCCTCTAAAGTACTGCAACACTCTTCCCTTTTTCGCTTACACTTTCATGCTGGCAACAGGCTACTTTTCCATGCTGCTTCCACTTACTTGCTTAAGATGATGTTGTACTTTAAAATGAAACTTACTGTATTCTACTATTATTAAGAAATATCTTGTCTGAAAAAGGATGATTTGATATGTGTAAAAAAATAAAGATTGTAATTCTTCAAGCTCAGTTGTGCTAAATGTGCCATCATGCTTTTCCACTCAGCCTTACCTTCAACCACTATGGTATGGTCTTCTCAGCCATCTATACAATATTGTAAACTGTTAAAATTGTATATATGACATATATGTGGGAAATGTTATGTCATGATATTCCCTAATCCCCTACTGTGTGACGTATGCATTGCGTCAGCATGTGTTTCCCGCCTTCGGGAGAGGACGAGGATTAGCTGGTGAGCGGAGCAGACGTCGCTCGATCGCTCGTATACCATTTTCATTAATTGTAATCCTAATGTAATCTATATTTGTAAATAGTAATAAATGTGTGTTATCAACTATGGTCGTTGCCTTTCCCCACATTTTGGGGGCTCGACCGTGCCTTTTGTGCATGCGTTTAATCGAAACCCTAGACACCAGCAATCACTAAAGACGTTCAGAAAGCTAACAAAGGCAAGACATGCCTTTATGACAAATTAATATTCTTCTTCAAGCTCTAGGACGAAGTATGTGAATGAAGACGTGCCTTTATGACGATTTAATTATTCTTCAAGCTGGACGACATATGTGAATGATGTTCCATGAGCTACTTGTCCATTCTTCTAATTTTGGACGTTAAATCAAAATTCGATTTTGGATTACATTCGGATTGGTCCAAGAAATATATTGGATTATAAGGACTGCCTCCGAAGTTAGGTAGGCCATTTTTCTCTGAATTCGTTCATAATTTATTAGTATTACGATTTTAAACTGTGTTTATACT